AAAAAAAAAAAAAAAAAAAAAAAAGTATGACAACAACCCCAGGAACGGGAAAAAAACACAACAGCTTTTCGCACTTCTCATGTATAAGAACAAGAGATACGGAGAGGTATACAAAGTTCCTCACCTCAAGAAGCACGACACAAGCAGATCTGGAATTGGAGTGAAGTGGGCGGAGAACGGGTCAACAAGTCTGCTTCAACAGGTCAATTGTGGAGAATATTGCCTTTATTTTCTTCAACCCAACTAGTTATGGTATGCTGTAATTGTTCTCTTCACTCAGGGCACTTTTGTCCTAAAAAATCACTTTTAGGGGCATATTAGACTTTCCAACTTCTCATTACTGTTAGGACATGTCGAATCTGACCCCCCTCGGGCAGATCAAATAATATGGGAAAACGCAGATTTCGCCACTGTGCATCTCGGGCCGCATCTAATCCACCGGGCTGCAATCACGCCAAACAAACACAGGATTTTGGGCGGATAAAGGGGTCAATCATGTCCTGTCCTGGAAAACAAACGTGCTCTTAGAGGATGATTGGATATAAAAAAATTTGATTTTGTTTGGATTTTTTTGTTTGGTTTGGTTAATTTTGAAAAAGTTGGTATGATTAGTTGTTAGTGAGTATATTAAATAATATTTAAAATAAAATGATTAAAGTTGATTTGATGTAAATTAGGAGAGAGAAAATTTGAAGTGATGATTAGTTAAAATTATGTGAGTCAATGAATAGTGAATTAAGGTAAGGTGGTGTGTAAGAATGATTGATTGATATTATTTAATTATATTGATAATATTGATGATAGTGAGTTAAGTAAAAGTTGAGTTAAAAAAAATAGTTGAGTTAAAAATATTTGAATTTTTTTGAAAAATTTTGTATCCAAACATGAGTGACTTGATGACGCCAGACCTGTCCCCCTGACAATTCCGGTCGGGGTTTAAAATCTATGCCACCAAGTTTATAAATAAAATCCGCCCAATTTCAGTTTACGAATGCATGCATAATCGTACATATGTAATTATATATATATAGCTCTCTAAAACCCTTCTGCTTTTTGTTCTTCTTTTTCAAACCCTCCCGCGGTTTAAATCTTCAGCCAATTCTCAATATCCGTGGAAAAAGAGGGATCTTTGCGCATTCAGATATATGAATACATATTGATGAGTAAATTCATTCAATTTGGTTAATTGGATCATTCGATTGGGTAATCATCTCCGGTGGATCTGGATTTGTAGTTGCTAGCTTTTCGAATTTTGATTTCTTTGGTCGGTTTTTAGTTGATTTGATTGTGTTCAATGGAAGGAGAGAAGCCACAAAATCTAGATCCGTTCGCCCCCATCCAATCTACTGGTTGGTCCTTACCTTCGCATTTGCTGCTCTGTTGTTTTGATTTCCTTTTTGCTTTCTTCTTTAATCTGTGTATTTTTGCCTGTTGTTGCGATTCATTGTGTATACTTTTGTGCCTTTATCAAGAAATTATTGGGCTTCATAGCTGGAATATCGAAATTTCTTTATTTTGGGGTTCCCATTATTTCTGCACCGACAAATGAAGTTGATTTGAATTGTTTTCCGCACTCAGAATTTTCAAGAATTTATTGGAGGAGATGCACGGTGTTTTCTCCCGTTATTTTTTGTTTGGCGTCCTCTATTCCCTGCTTGTAAAATTTAAGCTTTCGGTTTTAGACTGCAAAAAAAAAAAAAAAAATGTTGTGTGTTTTGTCTCAAGATTCACGGTTTCTTTTATGGCCATTTTTTCTTGTATTGTGTCTCGTCCATCATAGTAGTGGAAGAAAGGCTACAGGTGGTTTCAGCATGTAATCTTTACTTACTGGAATGTCATGTCACTTAAATTAGTGAATATACCATCAAGATTATTTTGTTTGAGAGTCCACTTGCAGCACATCCATTGCCCACCTTTCCACCTCCACCCCCATCTCTTGTTCTTTATTCCGTTTTCTCGGTAACCAGCCTTCTGTATTACCTTTGTAATAAGGATCCATTTGTCGTCTGTTATCTTTTCACTACATATGTCCCATGTTTGTGGATAATATAATATATTTACTGCTCTTATATTGACAATATTGGGATGGTGTTGTTGGATGCAGGTGACCAAGCTGTTGATTTGCATATTATAAGTGAAGAGGTGTGCTTTCTGCATCCTCGTTTTTCGTTTTCCCAGCTAGGTTTTTGTTCCTTAAGATCCATATGGTTTCATTTGCTTACCTGACATGCTCCTTTTTGTACATCTGTTCGAATCTATTGTTAGATGGCTTCCCAAAAAGATGAAAGGATTGCCTCTACAAATCCTTCTCCGGATGCAGTTGTCACGGGGGCTTCAAGAAACGCCAAATATCAACCTGCAACTTCAGTAACAACTGGAGGTCTTTCTACTTTACAACCATTTAACACATATACCCCTCAAGAACAGGGTTATTACATTGCAGGTATTCCTTGTTGTTAACTCAGTTGTTAGACAATTTAGAGAGCAAAGAAGGGGAGCGGATAGAGGGAGTTCTTTTGGAGAAGGGGTTGTGGTGTTAAATATAATATGTAAAATTGTAAATACAGAGAATAGAGTGTTTGAAAGATGGGGGAGATGTTATGTAGTAAAGACAGAATATCCTTTTATTTATTTATTTAAATTTGTGGTGTTTATTTACCACACATTCAGGATGTTGATCTTGATCATGCTGTGTCCAGGGTATGATAGCGGCAGTTGTAACTGGGATGAACATTCAAACTATGTCAATGCCGACAACTTGAATATCTTACCTCCAGTGAGTAAAGATGCTACATGATATCACGGATTAAAGATTTTCAAAATACTAAATTTGTGTTCAATCTTATTGAAGGCCATGTACAATGAAAATTCTTCACTCTTCTTTCCTCCGGGTTATGGCTTTGACTCCCAGATGGCATATGGGCAGTTTTCCCCACTAGCTAACCCCCTTTCTCCAATAATGATTGATGGTCAGCTGTTTTCTCCTCATCAAGTGCCTGTGACCCCGCCTTACTATCCGCCGCCAATTTCACCTGGCCCACCACATGTTACTTCGGCGCATCCTGCCTCACAGACTGAAATAATGGCACCAGGAAATAGCAGCCAAGAAAACCTTATGGACAACACATTTTTTGGGCCAGGGTCAGCTTACTATCTACCTTTTGGATCTTTTAGTGGAGGTGAATTTTCTGGAAGCGGTGCCCATGGTCCTTACAAATTCCGTGGAGATTTTGGGTCAAGCGAATCATTGCCTAGGCGCTCGAGTTCCTTAGATACTACTAGCTGGTTCATGTCTCCATTAACTTCTGGAACTGGATACGCTCAACCTATTGGCATACTTGGATCATATGAGCAGAATGTTGCACAGGTTTGTCTTATTTGTTTTTGACAAAAAATGCACAATGTGTAGAAATGGATATATTCTTGAACAGCCAATCACATACACTGATGGAGAGAAATGAAACCTGGTGTTTCGTCTTCAGTTTTTAGTTCATTTTATTATGCTTGTTGGATGAAGTTGGTGTTTGCCGAGAGAGTGAGAGAAAAGGGAAAAAGGAAAAAGAAAATGGAAAGAGTGAACTAACAAACATCCCCTCTAGTTTTCCTTCAATTCTATGGCTGCAAATGAACAGAAACATGCTCATCCGGTGTCTGCTTGATGCTTGTTATTACCATGCATTTATTAATTATAAAATATATTTACTACAAATTAGGATAGATATGCTTATTTTTAGTTTTAATTTTTCTAATAGTTTACATGTACAGTCATTGTATGCGTGTGCTTTGACTTGAGTATTCATGAACAAATAATTACTTTCATTAAAAGCATGTCCAAGTTGTTGATGAATGAGTGATGACCATGCCTGTGAACCGTTCGTGAATGTTCAATTATTTAAAGATCGGATAAGAAAAAACACTTAAGATAGACGAACAAACATGACCATCTCTCATTTGTTCACTTGGGTGTCTTCTGCCCTTATCAATACCCAACTCTCTGTGTGGTAATAACAAATAGGATTATCAAATTGGACTTTACTATCCTGTTGCTATGGTGTTTTTAAATTCTGTTACCGATCAAAACTATGTTTGGCTATGGTAATAACAAAACTGTGTTTTGTGCCGTCTTTATTACTTTCTCTTGATGTAGGTTCTGTTCGCCTTTTCTTTATCTTGTGTCTATGATATGTTCTGTTGGCATTTTTCTTTTCAGAGATGAGCATGATATTGATTTAAGGGAAAACACTGTCTTCAAACATCACTACTAAGTGCTCACTCTTTTTCAATTACTAATTTTATAGTGGCAGCCACCATTTCAGGGTTTTGGGTTAACGACAAATACCTCATCTAGACATTTGGCCCACAGTGGTTCTTACCAAAGCTCTGTCGGGTCTAGTTCTTCTCGATATCGATTTTCCAGTGATAAAAGTGGAAGGCGAGAAAGGGATCGGGATTCTCTCAACATTTCTACAGACATGTCTGGTGTGTCAAGCGACCGGAACAGAGGACCAAGGGCCTTGAAGCCCAAAAACAAGAATAGCCCTGAAGAGGAGTCTTCTGTGAGCATCAAAGATGTTGAATCAACTTCTAGGCTTCAGGCCGATCACATCAACTCGCCAGATTTCATAACCGATTATGAGCGTGCAAAATTTTTTGTTATAAAGTCTTTCAGTGAAGACAATATCCATAAAAGTATAAAATACAGCGTCTGGGCCAGCACACCACTTGGGAACCGTAAATTGGATGCTGCCTATCACGAATTAAAGGAAATGGCAGGCATGTGTCCTGTATTTCTCTTCTTCTCGGTATGATTTACCTTTTCTCCTCAATTTATTTTCTTATATTTACGTGCTTTTCTTTTCTTTTCCTTTTGGTTGGAACTTCTTAGCTGCTGTGCTGCATAGGAGAATTTAATTCTACTTGTAAAGCTCATGAGTAATATTTTCCATGCAGAAGTTTGATAGTGTTGAATATAGTTGAATGATTTACCTAGATAAGTATAATAGTTCACTGATTCTAATGCTGCTGGCTATTAGATATTTGTTAAAAGGATCAAGAGGAACTCTTAGCTGGTTTTTCTGGTTCAAGGAGTAGTTTGTCAATTAGATGTAATAATTTGAAAAAAAAAAAAAAAATGATTTCACCTTTTCGTTTTGTTTTCCATTTAATATTGATGTATGACCGATGAACTTATGTTTTAGTGAAGGATAAATATATGGGACTTTTTCATGAAACGGGAACGATAGAAGGAATATTGTTGGAATAGACATGGACAAGAATCTTAGCATTGTATGAATTTGTTCAAGTTGTGCACGATTGGCACTTTGTCTCTGAAAACTATATGAATTTCTGGTCTGTGTGAGGCTGACAGGAAATATTGTGTACTACAAGAATTGAACTTGATTATGTGCATAAACACATGGCTGGGTATGGGCATTTTCGTTCTTCCAACTATGTTATATGTTAGATATTATGTGTTGGCTCTCTGTCATAATACTAAATGCCTCTGAAATTGGTTGACGGCATGCATCATTATGGATCGTATCTACTGTCTCCTTTAGTTTGTGAAATCTAACTCTTGTCACCAGTTCATGATTTTCTTTCCTGATGTATTTTTGCTTCACTTCCTAATTCCTATATAAGTTTTAACTGGGAGATGTATATCAGTGTCTTGAAACTTGCAGCTTGTGACTTATGTTTTTTCATATTGGTGTATTTGTTCTTTTGATGATTGCAGTTGTAATGACCTGCAGGTTAATGCTAGTGGCCAATTTTGTGGTGTAGCTGAGATGATTGGGCCTGTTGACTTTGAGAATGATGCTGATTACTGGCAGCAGCAGGATAGGTGGAGTGGTCAGTTTCCCGTCAAATGGCATATTATCAAAGATGTGCCCAACAGTCGCTTTCGCCACATACTTCTTGAAAATAACGACAACAAGCCTGTCACACACAGCCGGGACTCTCAAGAGGTATTGCTATATTCTAAATCAACCAGTTCTTAGTGTTTAGAAACTGATAAAATATGATTCAAATTTGTTGGCCAATAGGATTTGTTATAACGAAAGAAATTTTTCACTCCAATTTCCTAGAATGACCGGTGAGATTTACTTCCCCAAATACCACTTCAATTACGAGTAGGAAAGAATGAACATGATAGAGATCGCATGAATTAAGGCATAAATCATGAAACATATATTGAAGAATAAAATAATAATTAAGCATAAAAAAATAAATTTATAGATTGTGGAGTGATTTTGGGATCTGAATTGAATTGATTGTGTATTGAAGATCATTGTTATCATACTTCTATTATTATTAGCTTTTATATTATGTCAGTTAAATATGAACTAGTGCGTATCCCGTGCGATGCATGGATGAGCTTTTTACTTAAAACCTTTTTCTAAAACTTTATATTAAACATAATTATTTATGTTTAACATCAAAATATGAAAAATTATATATTATTTATTTGAATACAATGAGTATCCCCAACCAAACCAATAACATTTTAATTATATGATCGTCATACTTTTTGAATATATATATATATATATATATATATATATATTTTAATAAACATGAGATATTTAAGATTCGCATTAAAATTTGTAATTTGGGTACAACAACAACAATATACCCAGTATATTCCCAACAGGTTGGGGTCTGGGGGGTCAGTTGTACGCAGACCTTACCCTTGTAATTATACAAGGTAGTTGTTTCCCTAGCGACCCAAGGTGCAACAATTTGTAATTTGGGTATGAGATGAAAAATGGCGAACATATTTTGAAAAGTGTAAAGTCGTATTATTTCTGTGTTAGATTCAACATCATTAATTGATTTAATTTTATTTGGACCAACGACATAATATGGAATTATTATATACCATAAATTAAATGATAGTTAGATAAGTACGAAAATGAATCAATCTGTACAAAAGTGTACGAAGAAGTTGATACTCCAATGTATTGATAAATAAAATTGGTACATATACTGATGTACATCTACATAAAATAAAATTGTTATATATAAAACTATTCATTAACTTTGTTGCTCCATTTAAAAAAAAAAAAAAAAACTAAAAATAGTAATTTTGAAAATTTTAAGCGTGAAAATCAAATAGAATTAATTTAATCGTAATCGATTAATTTAATATTATTCGAAAAAATAATGTGACATTAAAATCAAAAAGAATTCTTGTTAATATAATTTTTAAAATTCGTCGTGATCTATGAAGATATTATTAAAGCTTCAAAATTGATTGACAAATTCGTAGTGATTGATGATTAGGATTTCTATTATTTGAAAAATGCGTGGTTTGTTAAGTAAGTTGTAAGATAAATAAGGAGATTGAATTCTTAAGAGATCCTCAAGTTTTTGGAATATTTTATATTATATAAATTGATTGACAAATATTTTCCAAAATAAGTTGTTGAGATAAATTAAGTTGGTATGATAAATAAGGACAATATATTTCGAGAGATAGTACCATTTCTTTTTCTCAAACAATTTTGTTTTATTGATTGTACATGTAATAAGAATTTCTTTAATCTGTAAATCATGATTTAAAATCAAAAATATTTTGATGATTAAGAATTTTAATATTTTGAAATTTTTTAAGTAAGATGTTATATAAAAAAGAGATTAGATTGTTAACAATAGATAGAATTCTTAAAAGGTAAATTTGTTTTATTTTCTTTAATTTGAAAATCNATTCTAATATTTTGTTGAATCAATTGTTATATAGGCTTTTCAATATAGTATTCTTTGACCAGATATATATAGATTATGCAAAATATATATTTCATTTTCCATTTTTTAAAATACACAAATCTTCAAACATATATAACAAATTTATGACTTTGACTAGATATATAGATTTAGGATTTTGACCGGATATATAGTGATTTGGTGGAACTAATTTCGAATTTGAAAACATGTGATAGGTGGGAGAATCAAAAAAATTTCAAAAAACATTTCCATTATTAGTAAAAAATGAAAATTTGAGCGGGAATTATAATGCTATTTTTGTATTTTTTCTTATTTCTATTATGTAGTAATAGATATAGGCTAGTAGAGAAGGTAGTAGAGAAGGGTAGGCAACAAGAATCATATATTGTAATAGCTTTAGCTATTAGGCAAGAGTAGTTCTTGTTCGACAGAAGTTAACTAAGTTTTGTTGGGAAGCTTCAAGCTTTTGGCTACCATTCGTATTAAATAATATTTCATATTTCATTTTCTTGGCTCTTTACTCTTATCAATTGGTTCGACTCTTATCACTTGGTCCGACTTACCGGATGGATATCAAGCTTCTGGTTACCATTCGTATTAAATAAAATTTCATTTCATTTTCTTGACTCATTTTCTAGCGGTCGACAATGATAGAGATCACATGAAACAAGGCATAAATCATAGAAAGTGTATTTAAGAATAAAATTATAATTAAGCATCCAAGGAAAGAAGAACAAATCTACAGGATTGATTGTCTTTGGATTGATTCTTTTGAAAATTGTTGTTATCTTCCTTTTATTATTATTACTCTTTTATATTAAGATGTCAGTTAAATATAAATATAGGATCTCTAATAGAGAAGGGTACGCAATAAGAATCATATCGTAATAGCTTTAGCTATTGGACAAAAATGGTTTTGTTGAGCAGAAGTTAAGTTATAAGTTCTGCTGGGAAGCTTGGTGTAACGCCCCACTTTTGATTTTGAAAATTCCGGACTTTCAGAAAAATCAAAATAACTTTTTCGAAATTGATTTTTCGAAATCAACTTTAATATGGGCATTATCGTATTTCAAGTCATATTTGAAACCTCACGGGGATTCATTACCCGGTTTTTCACAGGGACCTCATTGTCCCAACACATATAACTCCACATGATATTTAAATAACACATCAATCATGAATATCCAAAGCAACATGTTTCAAATTGAAACGTACCAAATAATAGGGTTTTCAAAACAATTCAGAAATCCCAATATTTTCAAAACACAAGTTTGAAAACCAAAACATAAGGTTCACAAGACCCAAATAACATGATCATAAATCAAATGCAGAAGCAAGGTAAACATAACATAAATAAGGACCAACCACTCGTCCTTTTGCCGTCATGCCTGCCCCTGCTCAACCTTGGAAAGAAAAGTGGGGATGAGCACAATTGGAATCCGTGGTGCTCACCACTATGCAATAAATCATTTATAACAATAAAAAGGTATGGTCGCAGCATGAACATAAATCAATTAATCCTGTCTCATCTCCTATTCACACACTATTAACATTACTCCTGTGTATACATCTTTCATTAGCCACGGAAAGGGGATTTATTACCCTAACGGTGGGAGTACATGTCTCATAAGGACACGGCCTTTCGTTAGGACTTAAGGAGACTTGCCTTACAAGGACAACTGTATTACATTGACGGGGACAACCGTACTGACGGCCGAAACAGCACACATCAGTAGGCTACATGGTTCACATGCATACATTGATCATACCAACCAAACAAACATAAACAATTTACCGCATAGCAATTTAATAAACTCACCTAGTAACAACAGAAGATATAGCATAAAAAGCTAGTAGGGATGCGAACTCGACTCGTCACGGGGGCTCCCCATGGAGATACACTCGGCCGGACGAAGCCAAGATTGAGTAACTCCTGGTTTGATATAACATCCGAACCTTTTTAAAATCTACTCGACCGATTTCAATGAAATTTTACTACATAAAAGAAGACACAAAAATACACCTTGTCACAAAAGATAGACCCTTATACTATACCAGAACACAGTTAAACAATTTTTAAAAAAACATGCTTAGAATATGAAGTTACAAGTTTGAATAGCTACCCTCGAAGACCAATGCCCCATCGGATGCTACTGCGAATCTGCCAACTTTGTCGGCCTCCATCAACTCCTTCATCCGGCATAAGAAACGATCATTCGGTTGCTCAGCGACTATCCTATCGCGAAGAGTCGGTCCCATAACCAACGCTGCTAAAACCCCACTGGCTGTCGAAGTCGACATCACCGCCTCTAGCCGTATCCGCTCGAACTCCCGAACTAACACATCCTGCCTTGTGAATAGGCAAGACAGCTGGCCATGACTCCCCTGACTAAGGGCGTCGGCGACCACATTAGCCTTCCCGGGATGGTAGCTAATCTTGCAGTTGTAGTCCTTGACCAACTCCAACCGTCTCCTCTGCCGCATGTTAAGCTCCTTCTGAGTGAAGATATACTTCAAGCTCGTGTGGTCGGTGAAAATCTCGCACTTCCCTCAGTAGAGGTAATGTCACCAAATCTTCAAGGCGTGGACTACCGCGGCTAACTCCAGATCATTAGTGAGATAATTTTGCTCGTGAGGCTTCAGCTGCCTCGACGCATAAGCCACTACCTTCCCTTGCATCAGCACGCAGCCTAAACCCATCTTCAAAGCGTCACTATAGATCGTAAACTCCAAAGTCGGCTCGGGAATTGACAATACGGGTGCGGTAGTCACTCTCCCCTTCAATTCTTGGAAATTGGCCTCGCACTGGGGGCTCCATACGAATCTCGATGCCTTCTTCGTCAGGTTTGGTTAGGTGTTGGGCCACCTTCGAGAAACCCTCGATGAAATGCCGGTAGTATCCTGCTAACCCAGGAAACTACGGATGTCACTCACATTATTCGGAGTCTCTCACTTGCTCACAGCTTCTATCTTGCCGTAATCTACCTCAATGCCTCTAGCCGTCACGATATGGCTAAGGAATGCCACAGGATCAAGCCAGAACTCGCACTTTGAGAACTTGGCATAAAGTTTCTCGCGACGAAGGGTCTCTAGCACAATTCTCAAATGCTCCTTGTGCTGGTCGATGTCCCGAGAGTACACCAGAATATCATCAATGAACACGATGACAAACTGGTCTAGGTACGGATGAAAGACCCTATTCATAAGTTCCATGAACACCGCCAGAGCGTTGCTCAACCCGAACGGCATCACCACAAACTCATAATGTCCGTACCTGGTTCGGAACATGGTTTTGGAAACATCGGACTCTCTGATCTTTAACTGATGGTAGCCAGACCTCAAATCGATCATAGAGAAAACGTTGGCTCCCCTCAGCTGGTCAAAGAGGTCCTCGATGCGGGGAAGAAGGTACTTGTTGTTAACGGTGAGGTTGTTCAGTTCACGGTAGTCAATGCACATCCACATCGACCCATCTTTTTTCTTGACGAAAAGGACGGGTGCTCCCCATGGAGATTCACTCGGCCGGACGAGGCCAAGAATGAGTAACTCCTGGATTTGGGACTTGAGCTCTTGCAGCTCCTTCGGCGTCATACGGTAGGGTGTCTTCGACACGGGACCTGCTCCGGGTACTAAGTCGATAGTAAACTTGACCTGGCGATCCAGCGGTCCACATGACAACTGCTCCGAAAACACATCAAGGTACTCTCATACAATCGAGACCCTTTCCGGAGTCCGCTCGGTATGTAACCTTGACAGCTACCCTTCGACAGACTCTTCATCGCTTTGAGAGAAGAGATGACTCGAGGCACAGTCCTCGACTTCACCCCATAGAATAAGATAGGCTGATCATCATCGGAATAGAGACTAATTCTCGTTCCTGGCATCGGATGTCGGCTCGATAACGAGTGAGCCAGTCAATGCCGAGAATGACATCGAAGTCGCACATATCAATTACATACGTATCGGTCTCCAAGACTCGTCCTCCAATGTCGACTCGCAGGCCACAGATTATAGAATCAGAAACAAGAGTTTTTCCTGAGGCTAAGCTAACCTCGAGAGGATTGACTTTGCACACGACACTAATTGATAAAACCTCCAAGCAACGAGAAGAAATAAAAGAATGGGTGGCTCCGGTGTCACATAATGCAAAAATGGGCACATTGGACATAGAAAGCATGCCAGACATGGTACCTGCGTTGTTCGCTGCCTCATCATGGGTAATGGTGCAAAAACGGGCCAGACCTCCTGCCCTCTGCTGGTTCGGAGGTGGCTACCTGTTGTTGCCTCTTTGGTTCGGGACACATGTGGGCATAGTGGCCGGAAAGGTGACAATTATAGCAAAGTCTGACAATTATAGCAACTTCGCTGAGCTGCTCGGCACTCTCTAGTGTGGTATTTGCCGCAATTGTTGCAGGGTTGGTTGCCAGAGGGGCGGTTGTCGCGTCTGTCGGAGCCTCCACGTTTTCCATTATGGTTGTCCCGGCGGGGGTTGGCCTTCCTCTTGTTCGAGCTCTTTCGAGCTCTTGGCTGAACGGCGGTGATAGGCTGCACTAGCTGTGAATGAGGGTGAGAGGGTGCAGAGACAAAAATAGATTAGCAAGTTTTTAACTGCCGAGCACGGATCACGGTTTCTCCATAGGGAAGGTTTCCCTGGCTGGTAAGGTGCATACAGAGATCGGGGCGGAGTCCATCGCGAAACTGGGTAGCCTTCTTTATTTCTTTGTCCACCAAGTGAGATGCAAAAACACTCATGCGGGTGAAGTCCCGCTCATACTCCTCAACCGTCCGGGTTCCTTGACGGAGATCCCAGAACTTACGCTCCATCTGCTTGCGGTAGCTTTGGGGGTAGTACTTCTCAAGCACCACCTCTTTCATCCTTTCCCAGGTGAGGTTGGCAAACTCACCTCCTTCATCTTCTTAAGCCCCAAGAACAATATGTGATTTGCTGAACCATGTTGTTCTTGGGGCTTGAAAAAACGTTTATCCACCTTTGTTCAATGACGAACTTTAGTATTATACCTTGTACTTAATTTTTCGGCCTATTCAATGTAGAATTATGGCACGTCAAACTCGCAACCAGCAAGTTCCCCGCCCACGGCTGACGATCACCGTGACACCATTATCAAATTCCAACGGCTGAACCCACCGGCTTTCACAGGAGTCGAGGGGCCTACGGCTGTGTCTGAATGGATTCGCAAGCTAGAGCGAAACTTCAACCTCCTGCTCTGCACCGATGCGCAGAAAGTTGTCTATGGCCAATATCAGTCGGACGGGGATGTTGATATCTGGTGGTCCGACCACTGGAGACTTAGGCCGGGTGAGTTTGCCAACCTCACCTGGGAGAGGATGAAGGAGGTGGTGCTCGAGAAATATTACCCCCAAAGCTACTGTAAGCAGATGGAGCGTGAGTTCTGGGATCTCCGTCAAGGAACCCTGACGGTTGAGGAGTATAAGCGGGACTTCACCCGCATGAGTGTCTTCGCACCTCACTTGGTGGACACGAAAATAAAGAAGGCTACCCAGTTTCGCGATGGACTCCGCCCCGATCTCTGTATGCACCTTAACAGCTAGGGAAACCTTCCTTATGGAGAAACCGTGATCTGTGCTCAGCAGTTGGAAAACTGCCAAATTTCTTTTTGCCTCTGCACCCTCATGCACAGCTAGTGCAGCCTATCACCGCCGTTCAGCCCGGCTCTAGCTCGAACAAAAGGAAGGCCGACCCCCGCCGGGACAACCGGAATGAAAAACGTGGAGGCTCTGACAGACGCGACAACCGCCCCTCTGGCAACCGACCCTGCAAGAACTGCGACAAATACCACAGTGGAGTGTCGAGCAGCTCAGCAAAACTGCTATAATTGTCACCGCCCTGGCCACTATGCCCACATGTGTCCCGAGCCAAAGAGGCAATAGCAGGGACCCTTCCCACAACAACAACCACTACTCCAGCAGCAACCATTCAGGCAGCCACCTCCGAACCAGCAGGAGGCCCGTGTTTACACCATTACCCATGATGAGGCAGCGAACAACGCAGGTACCATGTCTGACATACTTTCTATTTCCAATGTGCCCATTTTTGCATTATGTGACACCGGAGCCACCCATTCTTTTATTTCTTCTCGTTGCTTGGAGGTTTTATCAATTAGTGTCGTGTGCAAAGTCGATCCTCTCGAGGTTAGCTTAGCATCGGGAAAAACTCTTGTTTCTGATTCTATGATCCGTGGCCTGCGAGTCGACATTGGAGGACGAGACTTGGAGGCCGATATCTATGTAATTGATATGCGCAACTTCGATGTCATCCTCGGCATAGACTGACTCAGGAACGAGAAGTTATCTCTATTCCGATGATGATCAGCCTATCTTATTCTATGGGGTGAAGTCGAGGACTGTGCCTCGAGTCATCTCTTCTCTCAAAGCGATGAAGAGTCTGTCGAAGGGTAGGTATCAAGGTTATCTAGTGAGTATGGTGAATGAGGATACCGAGCAGACTCCGGAGAGGGTCTGATTGTATGCGAGTACCTTGATGTGTTTTCGAAGCAGTTGCCAGGTGGACTGCCGGATCATCAGATCGAGTTCACTATCGACTTAGTACCCGGAGCAGGTTCCGTGTCGAAGGCATTGTACCGTATGGCACCGAAGGAGTTGCAAGTGCTCAAGTTCCAAATCCAGGAGTTACTCAATCTTGGCTTCGTCCGGCCGAGTCTATCTCCATGGGGAGCGCCCGTGACGAGTCGAGTTCGTATCCCTACTAGCTTTTTGTGCTATATCTCCTATATCTCCTGTTGTTACCAGGTGGGTTTATTAAATTGCTATGCGGTAAATTGTTTATGTTTGTTTGGTTAGTATGATCAATGTATGCATGTGAACCATGTAGCCTATCGATGTGTGCTGTTTCGGCTGTCGGTACGGTTGTCCCCGTCGATGTAATACGGTTGTCCTTGTGAGGCAAGTTCCTTAAGTCTTAATGAAAGGCCGTGTCCTTGTGAGGCACGTACTTCCACTGTTAGAGTAATGAATTCCCTTTCTGTGGCTAACGAAAGATGTGTACACATGAGTAAAATGTTAATGGTGTGTGAATAGGAGATGAGACAGGATTAATTGATTTATGTTTATGTTACGACCATACCTTTCTATTGTTATAAATGATTTATTTGTAGTGGTGAGCACCACGGGTTCCAATTGTGCTCATCCCCACTTTCTTTCCCAGGTTGAGCAGGGGCAGGCGGCAAAAGGTCGAATGGCTGGTCCTTATTTATGTTATGTTTACCTTGCTTCCGCATTTGATTTATGATCATGTTATTTGGGTCTTGTGAACCTTATGTTTTGGTTTTCAAACTTGCGTTTTGAAAATGTTGGGATTTCTGGATTGTTTTGAAAACCCTATTATTTGGTACGTTTCAATTTGAAACATGTTGGTTTGGATACTCATGATTGATGTGTTATTTGAATATCATGTGGAGTTATATGTGTTGGGACAATGAGGTCCATATGAAAAACCAGGTAATGAATCCCCGTGAGGTTTCAAATATGACTTGAAATACTGTGTGGTGTCAGAGCCAGTACCCGGACCATGTGCCAGCGAGGACGCTGGCCCTGAGAGGGGGGTGGATCCAGATATCTCACATCGGTTGTGAAGGATAACGAAGCATGCCTTATAAGTGGCTGTGGATACCTTCACTAGTATGACGCGTTTTGGTGAGCCAGCTCCCAAAGGCAAAACCGTGCGGGTGAGCGTACCCAAAGCAGACAATATCATATTACGGGTTGGCTGGGCTGTTACACTTGGTTACCATTCGTATTAAATAAAAAATCATAGGTCTTATCAGAACAGTGTTCAGTCATTATTAGATTCTACTGAGTTTACTAGAAAGTAGAAAAGAGAGAATATTCCTACCCTCAACGTATTTCTTGGACACTTTTGCTTCTGAACCTCTATTGCAATCTTGGTGCACCTCACTTTTGCTTCTGACATCTACATATACATGGGATTGATTCTTTGTTTTATTGGTCCATAAAAATCCACCATAATTGTAAGTATTGTCATCTATTGTTAGCCGATTTTCATTTTTCCGATCATTTAACTTGCTCTGCCAATCTTAGAAAAATGACACTTTAGCTACTACTCATGCATGCTTCACTCGTGTGTTTACTGTCATCCTTTCATTTCAGGTGAAGCTGGAACAGGGAATTGAAATGCTGAAAATTTTCAAGGACCATGATCCCGAGACATCCCTACTTGATGATTTCAAGTTTTATGACGAGCGGGAGAAAACCTTTCTGGAGAGGAAGGCAAAACAGCAAACCAGTTGTAGTGAGAATACAAGTGGAGATACAGAGTCTGCTCATGTAACCGAATCAATTAGTCAACTGTCGGGAAACTTGGCAGATACTCTACAGTTGGATGGCGGTGTAAGCACATCCAAGGAGGATTTGGAGTAAGACATTGGGCCCAGTAAAAGTGCAGTAATTAAGAGACGCTTAGGAAGTTGCTAACTGGATTCAATTGGAGGTGAACTTTTGATTCATCTAATTCTTGCATCTTCCCTTCATTATTATCTGTGTTTGGGCAGTGGGTCATTATTTGGATTTCTTGGGTAATACAGCTGGATGGATGAAATCTGGGAGAGCCCTTATACTTCTTTGTNTTTGCTGTTTTATTATTCGAAGATGATAGGTGGTACTGGACATGGGAATTGGGAAGCAAGTGGGACCCATGTGCGTGAACCTATGAGGTGGCACTTTAGTTTGATTCTCAATGTTTTAGTTCAGGTAATTAATTCAGGTTGCTATAATGTAGCACTATGTATTAGGCCTTAAAGTTGGGCCTAGTGAAGTGAAAAGCTGCTAAATGATTATTTAAATTGAATTTGTAGTTTTCTTGTGCCTTGTTAGCGTCACTATATTTCGAAGTCTGTAATTATCCATTTTTTTAGTTCGTTTTATAATTATGTGTAATCTCTTGAGTATGAGGAAAGACCGAAGTTGATAAGAGTTTAGACTTTAGAGTATATTTCTGGATTTGTGATATTCTCTACTTGTCCAAACTGTTTTATTGTTCAGTATTTTAATCACTCCCTTTAAAATTGAAATGCTGATTCTCCATGTGAGAGTTATATAGTTTATTTTAGTTTTAGAATTTGTATTGTATTTTGAAATTTATGATGTCGTGTGTAGTTCTCCTAAATTCAACTTTTCTAGTGGGCGGCTTTATTAAAAAGAGTACATTTGCTGAAACGTTGAACCCATAAGATTTCTCAAATTTTCGGTTCTCGAATATACGTATAATCTCATTCTTCCATTTTTCTCTCCTCCAACAAATTCCATTGCAGCTTACATTTTCTGGATGATATAATAGCCAACTAATAAAAAAGAATAATAAATATAAAACCCCAGAATCTAAAACAATATATACTTCAACCCACACATAAACCACATAACATAAATTATAACGACGCAACTCATCTTATTTGTACTTGAATTTTTTTCTCACTAATAACATGTGATCTTTACTAAATCATCAACCACCATTAAGGTTCAAGCCAAATTCCTCCCACTCGTCTCGACTGGAGTTAACATGACACAAAGCCCACACAGAAGTATGATAACCTGAAACAGTATGACTGCATACGTTTGCTGGCAGGCGCTAACTAAGCCGACTGCCACAAGAGGACATATCATTCCCCCAACCCTCCCTATAGCCGATGCTGTCCCGACAGCTGTCGTTCGTATCTCAGTTGGGTACACCTGTCGAACAAACAATCAAATCAAAATGAAGCTAAACAATACGTATACGACCCATTTATCAGACCTCATGGTCAATATATTATTAATATTTATTGTTCTAAATGAAGAAAATATTCCTGTTCCGCTGTAGCTGAAAACCGAATTAATCATTGTTCAAATGCATTTCATCTGTAAGATATAGAGGCATTTGATCTCTATGAAGTTTCTTGCTTCTAAGGCACTTAGCATTCCTCTTCTGAATGTAGAAACTTGTCTTTTATTTACTAGGAAATTAACAACGTTCCATATGCGAGAAGAGACTCAGAAGCGATTGCGTGACAAATGTTTTTTTCATTAAGTAAAATATAAATGCGCCAGACAATTCCATATAAGACGTACTAAATATCTTCAAAATCGGGACTAATTTTCACCATGTTAAGTTTGATAGAAATATGTACCTCCGGCGCATAAATACAGGCAACAATGAAAGCTGCTGAGACGAATGCTCGAGCTCCGAACAGTAGAGCTGTTGTCAAAATCTCACTCTGATGGGCCAATAATGGAAGAAGTAACAACGCGGACAACACAAACATGATCGCCATGGAAAGCTTGCGACCATATCTGTCCACAATGAAAGCCGCAAAAACGAGGCCAGGAACCTCTGAAAATAAAAACAACTTAAGCACTAATAATAATAATAACTTTTTTTAGAGTCAAAGAAGTAATCAAATCCGTTTCAGAATTACCTGCCAAGCTGGTAACAAATACATCAACATAAAGGCTCGAGTTTAGACTTTTCACCATACTCAAAGCACCCAATCTGCACTTACTTTGATCGCTGCTGAGCTCGGAGGTCAGCAATATAATGCCATAATACGAGAACGTATTTCCAAAATACAAGAACCACAACAGAAGGTTTGTTTTTATTAATTTTGGAGAAAAAAGTGAAAATAGTAACGAGAAACTGGATATGTATGTTTTATTTGTTCTTGGGGAAAGCAAATGGCAATTTTCGGATGCTGCAAACTCTTCATCACCATTTTGATCAGAAACTAGCAGGCCAGCATGGAGTGTTATTCCATTTACTGATGCTGCTTTTTCCAGAATACTATGAGCCTCCTTAGTTTTTCCTTTCATGCACAGAAACCTAGGAGACTCAGGCATTAATCCATATAAGAGTACCATAATGAAAGAAGGTCCCGATGAAAGTGCGACAAACCATCTCCACCCAAGTCTGGGCATGACAATCTGAGAAGCGAGGAAAAAATAAATTACATAAAACGAATCAACTGCATGTATTTGGTGACGTGAAATTATATAGGGGCAAGGAAATATATTTTCCATCTTTGTTAGAATGTAAACATGACAAGTCACAACTTTTTTGTCAAAACAATGACCCGAAACCTGTTCCATCAATAGGATCAAGCACCATTTCAGGTTCTAATATGAACTATAATTCGTTCAATCTGTACATTTGTTTAGCTGCCGAAAGGAGCTCAGCAATGACACAATAATTCCAAAAATTATC